GGAATGAACCTGGATGCCCTTAAAGAACAGTCAGGCTCTTAACTGCTGAGTCATCTCTCCAGCCCTCCCCCCCCTTTTTTGGTTTCTCAAAACAGAGATTCTCTGTTTAACAGCCTTGCAAGTCCTAGATTCTCTGTAGACCAGATTGGCCTTGAACTCAGAGAGACCTGCCTGCCCCCACCAAGCGCTGGGATTAAAGGTGAGCGCCACCACCGCCCAGTTAATACAGATCCCCTCGTAGTGCTCTTCAACCATGAAATCATTTCCTTGCTATTTATAACTGTAATTTTGCTATTATGCATCAAAAATATATGATATGCAGGATATGATATGTGACCCCAATGGGGTCATAACCTACAGGCTGAGAATCACTGAGCTAGAGATGGCTCAGCAACTGAGAGCCCTAGCTGCTCCTCAGGAGGACCAGGGTTCAAGCCCCTGTACTCACATGAGGATTCACAACTGTCTCTAATTCCAGTTCCAGGTGAGCCAAAGTACTATTTAAAAGGCTGTAGACACTGCATGTATGTGGTGCTCATACTTGCAGACAGAAACCCAGCTCACAAAATAAAATCAAATAAAAAATGCCAAACTCAGTATTCTTTTATTCCCAAGATTTGGGGATTTAAATTTGGATACCATCAACATTTTCTCATTACAAGCTCAGTATTCTGTACCTGAAATGCTTGGAATAAGAACTATTTCAGACTTCAGAATTTTTCAGAATTTAAAATAATGGTGCAGATTTTACTAGTTGTATATGCCATCTTTAAAAAAAAAAAGTTAAAGCTGGGAGTGGGGGATTGGTGCTGGAGAATGACTCAGTGGTTAAGAACACTAACAAGAATTTGGCTCTCAACATCCACGTCAGACAGTTCACGAACACCTGGAACTCCAATGTCAGAGGATAAAATACCCTCTTATGACACACACGTGTATACACATAACAAACAGAATTTTTTAATGAAGCTGGCAAAACTCATGAAGTAAATATTACGGCCACCAAGTCCTAAACCCTGAATTCAATCTTCAAAACCCACACGGTGGAAGGAGAAAATTATCCTGCAAATTGTCACCTGGGCTCCACACATGTTCCATGGCATGCACGCCTGCTATGCATGTATACGCACATAAGCATGCACACTCACACAGTCAATAAATGTTTTTTAAATTTATTTTTTTACTCAAAATTTAAATTCTAGCATCACACTAACTAGAAGACATCAGGTTTTAGGTTTAGTGATAATCAACCTCTAATTCTACACTAGATTAGAAGTTATTATCTCACTTAAGATAGGATTTGTATTGCTATTTGGGGGAACTCACCTTGAAAGGAAAGATGGAAACGAAATACCATTAAAATAAAACATGTCGGGTGGTGTTGGCACTGAGGAGGTAATGGCAGGTGGATCTCTCTGTGAGTTTGAGGCCAGCCTGGTCTAAAGATTGAGTTACAGAACAACAAAGACTACAAAAAGAAACCCTTTCTCAAAAAACAAAAGAATGAAAATAAAATAAAACAACATTCTGTTGGCCACATTAAACCACTTTACCAAGTAATGATGAGTAGCATCTCATTATCTTTTTACTTTGAATGCACTCCAAAGGCCCTACTGTCATCACTGCCCAATGGTACAAGCCCGCAATCTCAATACTTGGGTGTCTGAGATAAGAGGATCTTGAGTTCAAGGACACACTGCTTCGTAACAAGAAACTGCCTCTTGGGGTGGGGGTGTAGGAGGTCAGCACGGAGAGACAGCTCAGTGGTTAATAGCACAGAAGATAGGAGTTTAATTATAAGCATGCATATGGTGGCCCACAACCATTTTAAATTCTATTTCCATGGGGTCCAATATCCTCTTCTGGCCTCTGTGAGCACAAGCATGCACATAATGCCCAGATGCCTGCAGGTAAAATATCTGTACTTAAAACAAAGTAATAATAAAATAAATTGGGGGGAGGGAGTAGGCTGTAGAGTTGACTCAGCATTTAAGAGTAGTAGCCTGCTCTTCCAAAGATCCTGAGTTCAATTCCCAGCAACCACATGGTGGCTCACAACCATCTGTAATGAGGTCTGGTGCCCTCTTTTGGCCTTCAGGTATACACGCAGAAAGAATATTGTATACAGAATAAATAGGTTTTTTTTTAAAAAAAAAAGACTATAAAAGGTGTAATTTAATTGGATACTTAATATGGAAAAGGTGCTGGTATCTTTTTCGCTTTTGTCAACAGTCTTACTATGTAGTCCAGGGTAGCCCTTAGATTCCCTAGTTATCTATTGCTGGGACTACAGGCATATGCCATCACATCCAGCTTTAACCTGTGTCTTAGAAACATAATTAAGAGCCAGGTAGCACAGTAAATTTTAGGCTAGTTTGTCTTACATAAGTCCCTGTCTTTAAAATGAGGTAGGTAGGTAGACAGACAGATAGATAAAGAGAGATAATTCAGCAGATAAGAACATTTATGTATAAGCATGAGGATCTAAATTGAAATACCCACAGGCAAAAAACAGGCATGGCCACAAAGGCCTCTAACCTCAGCATCTGGAGCAAGGAGGCAAATTTTGGGAGCCAAAACCTCATGCTTCAGGTTTGAGACAGACTTTGTCTCAAGCGAATAAAGCAGTAAACAACAGAGGAAAACATCCAATTTCTTCCTTTGCCTTTTACATGTATACCGACATGTTAACCTCCCCCTCCCCCACATACACACTTGTTCAAGGGCATACACATACTATAAATAAAAAAACATTATATAGGAGTTGTAGCTCGGTGGTAGAACACTTGCCTAGCATGTACATGACCTGGATTCAATCTACAGCACTGACAAAAGGAGAAAAAAGTAGTAATTTTAGAGGGCTAGAAGTGTGTTTAATGACAGAGTACTTCCTTATTATACACAAAGCCCTGTGGTTCAGTCATCACAAAATAAATGATATTAAGAGAGATAGGTATAGCTCAATGGTAGAACAGAGACTCTGAGTTAATCTCTGTCATCAAAAGAAAGTAACATAAGACAACATACAAAATTTGCTTATTTAAACTAAGAAGCCTGAGGTGGCCAGGCTGGTGGCCAACACCTTTAATCCCAGTACTCCGGTGGCAGAGGCAGGAGGATCTCTGTGAGTTCAAGGTCAGCCTGGTCTACCGAGTGAGTTCCAGGAAAGCCAGTACTGTTTCACAGAGAAACCCTGACTTGAAAAACCAAAAAAGAAAAGAAAGAAAAAAAGGTAATAGGTTTTGAAGATATGGTATAGAACACACATGGTGTAAAGTGAAAAAGAAATCAACAAAAAGCAAATTATGTACTAAAATGACATAATGAAATATTACTTTGTTAATAAAAAAAAAATACAAGAGGACCAGAGAGATGGCTCAATAGTTAAGAGCACTGGCTGCTGTCCCAGAGGACCTGGTTTGATTCCCAGCAAATACACGGCAGCTCACAACCATCTGTAATCCCAGTTCCAAAGGATTCCATGCCTTCTTGGGCACTGCACAAATATCGCAAAGACATACATGCAGGCAAAATACACATTAAATAAAATTTAAGACAAAAAAAGCCACTGTCAATGGTAGAAGAAGCTAGCTAAATCTTTTTGTTTTGTTTTGTTTTGTTTTTCAAGACAGGGTTTCAAGACAGAGCCCTAGCTCTGTAGACCAGGCTGACCTCGAACTCACAAAGATCCACCTGCCTCTGCCTCCCAAGCACTGGGATTAAAGGTGTGCCACCACCATCCAGCTCTAGCTAAATCTTATACTGCATAAACATTGTTTTCAATGTAAACGTCTATGGAAAAGAAAATATTTCGAAGAATCACATCAGGAGTCAGCAGCTGAGGGGTTAAGAAGTAATATTGGTTTTCTCCTACCTCCCCTGGGTTTTAATTTTATTGCTTGGTTTTGGTTTTCCAAGACAGAATTTCTCTGTGTATTCCTGGTTGTCTTGAAACTAACTCTGTAGACCAGGTTGGCCTAGAACTCTTGAGATCCGCCTGCCTTCAGCACGCACCACCATGCCCAGATGTTTTATTGTTTTGGTTTACATGTGATCCTAGATATAAATCCAGGACCTCATTAAAGACAAAAGGAAATTTTTAAAATGTAATCCTGGGTGTTACTTAGTTAATAGCATAGGATATGGTAATTCAATCTATTGTTAAAAAATGCAGGGCTGGGCTGGAGAGATGGCTCAGTGGTTAAGAGCATTGCCTGCTCTTCCAAAGGTCCTGAGTTCAATTCCCAGCAACCACATGGTGGCTCACAACCATCTGGAATGAGGTCTGGTGCTCTCTTCTGGCCTACAGACATACACACAGACAGAATATTGTAAACATAATAAATAAATAAATATTTAAAAAGAAAAATGCAGGGCTGATGAGATGGCTCAGTGAATGAAAGTATCTGTACCCAAAGAATGACAATCAATTCAATTCCTAGGACCCACATGGTAGAAACAAAGAATCAATTTCACATAACAGAAAAATCTATAAACACACACATATTTCTTTGAAAAATAGATAAATTTTTATTTACATTCTGAAGAGAAACTCAGTATTTACCTAAGGCTGTTGAAACTGTACCTCCATTGTAAAGGTGTATAATTTACTATACATAATTAAAAGGCTTCGAGTAAATTCAAGGTCCTCCTCAGGTACATTCAAGTTTGAGACAACTCTGAGTTATAGGAGATCTTGTTTCAAAATAACAAAATAAATGTTTCAAAAATTAAATTTTAAAAATTTTTAAGTAACATATAGAAATACATAAAACTTTGTGATTAGTGTACATAGCACTAGAACTACAGTTGAAATATTAGCAATCTAGCCAACCATGGCAATATACAACTTTAATTCCAGCACTCAGGAGGCAGAAGAAAGCAGCTCTTTGAGTTTGGGGCCAGCCTGATCTATATATCTAGTTCCAACCAGCCAAGGCAACATAGTGAGCAATCTCCAGGCAAGCAAGTTAGCTCAGCAAGTAAAAATGATTATTAGCGTGCTCGCTTTGGCAGCATGTATACTAAAATTAAAACGATACAGAGATTAGCATGGCCTCTGCACAAGGATGATAAGCAAATTCGTGAAGCCTTCCATATTAAAAAAAAAAAAAATGATCACTTGCGCCAGGCAGTGGTGGTGCACGTTCTTAATCCCAACAGGTGGATCTCAGTGAGCTCTAGGACAGTATAGTCTACAGAGCGAGTCCTAAGGAAAGGTTCCAAAGCTACAGAGAAACCTTGCCTCAATAAGTAAATAAGCAAACAAACAAATAAATGACTACCAGCAAGCCTGACAACTGGAATTGAATGTCTGGTACCTACAGGACAGAAGGAGACCCAACTCACACTGTTTGAGACCTCCACATGCAGACCTGGCACACACAAATAAAAACACCCATCTCCTAGAAACCCGGACTATACTCACTTGCACATACAAATAACCAGCATCAACTTTCTATATCAAGTTCTCATAGACAACTGTTAGAAGTATTGTCAATATAACTGCAAAAATATAATCTGGGGGTCAAAGAGATGATTCAGCAGTTAAGAACACTTGCTGCGAAGCCGGGCGGTGGTGGTGCACACCTTTAATCCCAGTACTCGGGAGGCAGAGACAGGCGGATCTTTGTGAGTTCGAGGCCAGCCTGGTCTACAAGAGCTAGTTCCCCAGGACAGGCTCCAAAGCTACAAAGAAACCCTGTCTCGAAAAACCAAAAAAAAAAAAAAAAACCACTTGCTGCTCCTGCAGAGGACCCAATCAGTTCCAAACATCCATGTGGCAGCTCACAAAAACCTGTAACTCCAGTTCCAGTAGCTCTGACACCCTAATCTGATGTCTGCTGGCTGCTGCACAGATGTAATACGTATACACGCATACATACTTATTAAATTCAGGCACTACATATATACGTACACAAAAAAATTAAAAGAAAATGTCATCTGTAGCCATATAAAACTTTATTGGCAAAGAATGCTAGCTCATGCTGTCGCTGTCACCCTATCACTATAACACTGAAGCAGGTGGATAGCTGTGAGTGAGATCAATCAGGGCTACTGAATTCCACTCAAGTCTAGATCAAAAGAGTTAATCTCTTGCTAGGCAGTGGTGGCACACAGCTTTAATCCCAGAACTCCGGAGGCAGAGGAAGAATCTCTGTGAGTTCAAGGCCAGTCTGGTCTACAGAGTGAGTTCCAGGGCAGTCAGGGCTAAACAAAGAAACCCTGTCTCGAAAAGCTAAGAAAGTTAATCTCTTGTCTTAAAAACACACACACACACACACACACACACACACACACACACACGTACAAACAAGATGATCCTCGTCCTAGTCCTGTCCTTGACCTCCTCTCTTGTTCTCCCAGAACCAGGCTCTATAAATTCAGTGATATACTATGGCACTATCCTTTATTTAACTGCTGGAAAACATTTCCTCCATATCCAATAAAACAGAAGAATAAGCTTCCACGTCTGTGGTCCCACATCCAATGACTATTTTTTTCTTTTCTTACTTTGGAAAAGACAGGGTCTCAAATAGCTGACTCACCTCAACTTCCTTGTGTAGCTGAGGATACCTATGCGCTTCTGATCCTACTACACCCACCTCCAGGTGCTAAGATTACAGGTGTATACCACTAGAAAAGTCTTCATGGGATACTGGGTCAAACCTAGAGTTTAGCAAGCCAGTCAAGTTTGCTACCAACAGAGCTATATAATCAACTCATGAAATTTTCTTTCTTTTCTTTTCTTTTTTTCCCCCTCAAGATAAGTAAGGCTTCTCTGTGAAGCCCTGGCTGTCCTAGAACTTGCTCTGTCAACCACGCTGGTCTCACAGAGATCCACCTGCCTCTGACTCCTGAGTGCTGGGATTAAAGGCATGCGCCGCCGCCACCAGACAAGAGAGCAATTCTCTAAGACACAGCTATACCCATGCACACTCTCACCCCATCCTGAAAGATAAGCCAACAATCATGCTGTTGATGCTAAGTGTCCCCTATGTTTCTGTGCCTACCTGCACTAGGACCTCACATTATGACGAAGATGCTACTGTTCAACAGATATTCCATGTTCCTACCACAGGTTTGCTTGAGAATCAATCATTTAACACTTTAGGGCCATGTACCTGGGATCCACAAAAACACCCAGAGAAAGCTGCATATCCTACCTTCGCATAACTTCCTTGAAAGCTGTGAGCTTTTATAAACCAACGAAGTAATCAAAGGCTGGCCTAATACAGCTAAGCAAGAAACAGTCTGTGGGGGCTGGAGAGATGGCTCAGTGGTTAAGAGCATTGCCTGCTTTTCAAAGGTCCTGAGTTCAATTCCCGGCAACCACATGGTGGCTCACAACCATCTGTAATAAGGTCTGGTGCTCATTTCTGGCCTGCAGACATACACACAGACAGAACACTGTATACATAAAACATAAATAAATATTTTAAAAAGAAACAGTCTGTGACCTAGTGACAGACCATGGTCCAGAGAGGCATCGTTGCTAGAGAGTGGAAGGATAGAGACCAAAGGTTCTGACCAGGGATCCTCTAAGAGTCTGAACAAGCTCTAGCTTTCCAGTGAACGACTAAAGCCAGTTTTAACCATAACATAAAGTGCTGGATGTCTAGAAGAATCCAAGCTATTCTCTTAATTGGTTAGGTTCATCATTTTCTGACTAACCTAAGAGTTTATACACCTAATACATAGTTGTTTTCCAGGGAAAACTTGTCCTATTGTTTGTACATAGATATAAATAGTTAGATAAATGGATACTACACTTTACCAAAACACAGTTCAAAGTGACTGGAGGAAGAGTCTGACACTTTTTACTAGAACTAGTACCTAATTAAAACCTAAGAAAACGCAGTTCTTTTTAAAATTCCCATAAAATGAATAACGACAGTTCCTACATTTCTAACACAGCATCCTCAACGCCCCAGAATTTGGCAGTTCGTAATTTCTTCTTTGATAACTGCTCTATCAATAAGGACACTCTGAATCCACTACACAAAAAAAGAGACCACATCCCTCAAAGTTTTCTCATTTCCCCAGTACTTCCAAGGAGAGAATGTTCTCTTTCTGTTCCTTTGTTGAATGAAAATGGAACATAAAGTTCTGACAATAATTTTTTTAGTAAAGAGATATGGATTCTGCAAGAACTCATACTACTTTTGGCTCCTGAGTGGCAAGCTCCTCCTTGCCTGGAGCACTCTTGAGGATGGCTATAACTTTTCAGCTGCCAGGGGGGCCCAAGACTGGCTTCAGTATTCAGGTACAGAGTTCAGAGGGAAATTACCTGTAAAAATGGAAAAGCTTTTACCAAGCACTTGTTTGAGATCTGTTGATGTGCAAGGTGGCTTCAGTAAGTCCTATGTGTGATTTTCTGAACTGGAGATATCAGATTTTACCTCCAAAAAGCTGGGTTAGAGGATATTATCATTATCCATTACAGGATCTCATGCAGCTAAGTCTAGTCTCAACTCACTATGTAGCCTTGAACTTCCTGTTGCCACCTACCAAGTACTGGGATTACAGAAGTCCATCATAAAGCCCAATTTAAGGGATACTAGGGACCAAACCCAGGGTTTCACATGTCAGACAAACATTCTAACAACTGAGCTACATCACACACACCAGATCCCCTAAAATACAATTACAGAAGGTAATGTACAATGTAGATACTGGGAACTAAACTCTGGTCCTCTCCAAGAGCAGGAATATTCTTAAGCACTGAGCAATCTTCTTTAGTCTCATCACCTTTCTTTTTTTTTTTTTTAATTTATTTTTGTGTGTGTGGCAAGTATGTCAAAGTCAGAAAGACAACTTGCAGGAGCTGGGTTTTCTCCATCTACCAAGTAGGTTTCAGGAATCAAATTCAGGTGGCAGACTTAGCGGGAGATGCTTTTCCAGGTGAACCATCTTGCTGGGCCCCAGTATTTTTTGTTGTTGTTTTGTTTTTTTAAGACAGGGTTTCTCTGTGTAGCTTTGAAGTCTGTCCTGGAAATCAATAAGAGTTCTCTTGAACTCAGAGATCTGCTTACCTCTGCCTCTCAGTGCTGGGATTAAAGGCGTGCACTACCCTGCCCGGCTAAAAACATTTTTTTAAATGTAGTGTGGAGGCATACATCCAGAGACATAGGCAGGGAGATCTATGAGGCTAGCTTGATCTACAGAGCCAGATCCAGGATAGCCAGGGCTACATAGAGAAACCTATCTCAATAATAAAAAAAAAAAATTATATTTGGGAATTCAAGAGATGGCTCAGCTATTTAAAACACTATCTGCTCTTCCAGAGGTATTAAGTTCAATTCCCAGCACCCACACGATGGTTCACAACCACATAAAACATTTGGGGTACAATGCTTTCTTCTGGTATTCAGGCATACATGCAGACAAAACACCCATACATTTAACACCTAAATAAATCATTTTTAGGTTTGTTTTTGTGTATGAGTGTTTTGCCTGCAGGTAGGTATGTGTGCTTAGTGCCCCCAGAAGTCAAAAAGGCATCAGATTTCCTGTAATTAGAATTACAGATGTTTGTGAGCCACCATGTAGGTGCTGGGAAACAAACCCAGGTCCTCTGCAATAGCAACAAGTGTTCCTAACCACTGAGCCATTCTTCTAGCCTCTCTATTAACATTTTTAAATACACACACACACACACACACACACACATTAATATGCCAGATGTGGTGGCGCATGCCTTTATTACCAGCATCTGGGAGTTTGAGGCCAGCCTGGTCTACATAGTAAGTTCCAGGACAGGAGAGCTATATAATAATCAGTGTTCATTACAGAGACAATACTGATACTTTCCTAGGTTAATATACTACATATCTGTATAATACTTCATCATTTATAGAGGCTACTTTTTTTTTGGGGGGGGGGTTCGAGACAGGGTTTCTCTGTGGCTTTGGAGCCTGTCCTGGAACTAGCTCTTGTAGACCAGGCTGGTCTCGAACTCACAGAGATCCGCCTGCCTCTGCCTCCCAATTGCTGGGATTAAAGGCGTGCGCCACCATCGCCCGGCCTATAGAGGCTACTTTATAAAGCTATTTGAACTACAGCTGATCATGGCAGTTCATGCCTGTAACCTATTCCTTGGGA